AGTCATAAGTAACACATATCATTCTAAAATATATAGTAATATATTTTTTTTGTAAAAAAATAAACTAAATCTAATATAGTTTTCTCATTAATTTTAAAATTTAAGAATAATTTTTTAACAAGCACCCGTGTAATACACGGGCGTTGTACTAGTTAATTATTAATATATCAATATTATTTGTCCAAACTTAATTACAAAGCATAATTTTTCGCCCAGTAGGATTATCAACGTATTCGGGAATTATATATAGAGGAGATCTATATATATATAATTGCTAGCATGTAGCATTTAATAAAACCTATTTAATAAAATCTCTAACATTTTTCCCTCCATTTTCGGTTACAAAATTTAACATTAATACTTTTTACTTTTCACATTAATACATCCTATTAAGTGTAACCATGTATTTTTCCTATTATATTATATAATAGTTATTGCTAATACCAACTAATAATAATTCACAATAAATATAAATTACCTAATTATAAACAATTGTTTCAAGTTATTTATATTAATATCAATATTATCTTGTCCGTTAAAAATAATTGTAATACTTTTCTAACTAATTAAATGTATGGTCCCTCTAGATTACTAATTTCATACATAAGTTAAATAAATTTTATTTACATTATACAGTTGCATATAGTCAAAATTTGAAATGTAATGCATCCATTATCTAATATAAAGTTTTATATATTGCTGTACCGAAAAAAAAGTTTTATACATTGTATGCATACATATAATAAATAATTTTTTTTTGTGCATATGCACAGGATGAATACTAGTTTTGTTTAAAAGTGTCAAATTAGGTACAATTTTTAAAAAGTGTCATTATTATTCTTCTTTTGTAACCTTTTTTAAAACGCGTCGTTTTAACCTTTATTTTTGTTCACAACTTCAATACAGTACTACTTCACAATTGATAGGTTTGAAAATCCAACAAGAGTCGAGAGCCTTACAAACTACAATACAAATCATAATTCAACCAAAAGCAATCCTAAACCCTATACAAATCTACCACATTATACATAATTACAACATAAATGAAATTTCTTAAGAAATGTATTTTAACTCCGGTTCCTCTGCGAACAACTCCAACCGAACACTTGAAACGAATCGTTTTTCACTTTGTTACATATCGTTCATCGATTTCTTACCTTTTGAGTGAAAATCTGTCGGTGCTTTCGTATCCACTGCTATCTCCCGATTCAGCTATATGATTCTTGAACACCTTCTCTTTTGTTCCAACGTGATGAGTTCGCCCGTTTTCACGCCTAACCCCACGATCCTGTAAAAAACGATTTACCACAAGAAATTAATTTACTTTGATGAGTATGGCTAGACAATATACGCCCGTTTTGCGATTTCACATCAATTTCAGTAACACGTAAATAAATAAAAATAAAATAAAAATCATGTTGGAGTTATTCAGACTTACATCACGGAATGGAAAATCATCGGCCTCGAGCATATGCACGACTTGCCCCATCTTGGGCCTTTTCTGAGCATTTGGGTCCACACAACGTAAAGCCACTAAGAGGGTACGTTTGAGTGCTCTCGACAAAGGCATCTCAGGTAACTTGGGATCTAAAACTCCCTCAGCATTCCTATTAGAAACCATTGTTTTGAGCCAATCGACCAGGTTCACCTAGGTTACCAGCGCACGTGTTTTAAGGTTATACGCACGCAAATTTTTTTTTTTTTAAATAAAAAAAGTGATAATCTTTATCACTTGATAAAAAGATTACCTCCCCTGGGGGACGGCTATAATCCACTGGGTTCCTCCCGGTAATGATTTCCATTATAAGAATGCCAAAACTATACACATCACTTCTCTCATTCAGCATGCCCGTGCTTGCGTACTCTGGGGCCACATAACTACAAAAGAACCGTAAACAAACATAAACATGAAACATATGTGTGTGTTTGTGTGTGTATATATATAAATCATCGTGTGATATAAGACTCACCCAAATGTTCCCATAACTCGTGTAGTAATGTAACTCCTCTCGGAACCAATCAACTTTGCAAGACCAAAGTCGGAGACCTTTGCATTCCACTGTTTGTCTAACAAAATGTTGCTCGATTTAATGTCACGGTGAACGACCTTAGGTTCGAGGCCCTCGTGTAGGTAAGTTAACCTAAGAAATTCACCTAGTTTTAAGTTACTAAAGAGGATCCAACAATATTTATCGAAAAAAATAATCCACCAAGTGGTTTACTTTGGATTTTACCCCTTTGCAGTTCCAAGAATGATTCGCATACGTATGTCCCACGTCAGAGGGCTTTGGGGGCCAACATCTCCATGAAGCCATTGCTCGAGGTTCCCATTGTCGACATACTCGTACACAAGCATCCTGAAATTGAGACAACTCTCAAAACTCACACATTCATGCAAATAAAATGGAATACGAACTATAATGATATACCGAAAAACATTCAAACATCTTCCTTGAGCTAAGAAATTAAGAAACGAGAAAGACCATAACAGAGTTAATTCTGAAGTTATATGAGTACCTTTGAGCACCTTCGGCACAATATCCGAGCAATCTCACCAAATTCTTGTGGCGTACACGTCCAATGGCTTCAACCTCAACCTTAAACTCTCTCTCGGCTTGACCCCTATACAAAAAGACCACATTCAAGAAGCAAATCAAATCAAATCAATAATCCAAAACAGAACAAACTAAATCAAGCTGCCGGCACAGGTTTCACTTGAATAAAGATGTCAAAATCCAAATTCAGCTAAAACCCCATAAATGTCAAATAACCCAAATGGACAAGTTTCACAATCACTCCATAAAGTACCCCACTTATCTTCTGTATCATGATGATGAACCCTCCAAACAGATAACACACATGCAAATTCAGCACGTTACACATCATAATGCTGGGCTATAAAAGTGAAATTCACAAAAAAAAAAATGTATAAAATTGCACAAAATTAATTTTACAGTGTTTTTGTAGAACAACCGTACTTGTTGTTGAGCAGATTCTTGACAGCCACAACAGCCTTATCCTCCAAAACGCCATGGTAAACAATCCCATACCCTCCTTCACCAATCACATTCTCATCCGAAAAACCATTGGTGGCCTCCTCAAGCTCCCTCAGCGTGTACCAGTGGCCCCACCCCAAATGCGAGACCTCCGGCCCAGAAACAGCAGAACCCGCCTCGCCAGAACCCGAACCCGACTTCTCCGGGTAGGCAATCCGGTGGCCCTTTCCAACCTCGATGTGGATTCGGTTGTCCTCCTTCGGGTCTGGTTCCGGGTCCTGAACCGGCCCAGGCGCGGGGAGCAAGAGCTTCGGGTTGGTCTCAGAGACTCGGTCCGGGTCGGACCGAATTTCCTGTATTTCTCGAGAGACTTTAGGGATGGAGGTGCTCTTTTGGGGTAATTTTAGCAGTGACGAAGTTGTCTTGTTCCTTCTCGAGGTGAACCAGAGACAGATTAGGACGAGGAAGCCGACAATGGCGGCGCAGACGCATAATCCGAGCAGAACCCATAAACGGAGACCGAGAATTGTGGTCCGTCTGGACAACTCGTCCTTCAGATACGATGGCTTGCTCCCATCGGACATTTTTTTTTTTTTTTTTGTAGCCGGTGAAGAACAAACAAAAAGAAAATTGAAAAGAAACAAGAAAAAAGGTTCAAGCTTTTGACATTTGAGCTCTATATGAGACAGAAAAAGAAAAGATAATGGAAAATAAAATGGAAAAAACAAGCGCCTGTGGTGAAAAAATGGCAGAAAGGCAAAGAAGCACAACAGAGAAGCTGTAGTGATGGGGACTTGTGGGAAAATGGGGACAAAAAATTAAATTAAATTAAATTAAATTAAACCCTACCAGTTTTGGTACTGTGCAATTTAATGAGTGCCCCATAGAGGACACCATTATTATGTTTTTATTTAGGGAGTAGTTTATTTGACTAGTGTGGGAAATTGAGGGGGTGATTGGATATAAATTTTAACATAAAAAAAAAAAAATTAATTAAAACTCAAAATTTAACTCAAGTATAGTATCGTCTATATTATCAATATAATTAGATAATATTAACCAGTCATTTCCATACATCATATCAACTTTAATTCATTCATTATTCATGCAGTCACATAATTTTAACTAACAATCACATCTAATTATTTTTTATCTCCTACTCTTACATCAGATCAATTTTAATTATTTTATTATAAATATTATTTTAATATACCAACTAACAATTGATCATATCATATTTCTTAAAATTAACTATGGTTAAAAAAACTAATAAATAACTAATCAAATTCATATCCAGTCACACCCCTTAATTATTTAGCACTCTGTAATAAGTAAAAGAATTTAGGAGTATATTCAATTGAAATTTTCAATGACATTTTTTTGATATATTTTAAGATTTGAGATTTTTTAAAATTTTCGGTTCTCGAGGAATCTTGTGAAATTTGAATATATGAGGTGGGATTTAAAGTAGCATTTGGTTTAAGTTTGTTCCTTAGAAATCCAACAAAATCTTATTAAAGTCTTAGCAAATTATTGTCTCAAATAAGTTAATAACTCATGAATTCGTAGACTTTTTATAATTTTAAATGAATACCTGAAGACTTTTAAAAGGCTGGAAAAGACTTAAAAATCTAATTTGAATACACAATAATTTCCAAAGTTTTTAAAAATCTCAATGAAATATATCCCTAGAGTATATGGGTGAGCATGAGTCGGCACGGTTCGAAAATTGACAATCTCTGGAACCGTATCGAAGTTTGGAGATTACTAAAATTCAATCTCCGGAACGGTACCCAAAAAATTTTTCAGTTCGGTTCGAATATTTTTATTTTTCGGTTCAGTTCGATTCTCGTGACTATCGGAACGGTTCAATTCAGTTCGGATATTTGAAGATTTCTAATTATTTTTTAATTTTTTTGAATGGTTACCTAGTTGTATTTTAATTTTTATATAATTTTTTTTTAATCCAACATTCATCAATATTTTATCATACTAAAGATTTTATTTTTAAATCAACTGGAAAAAATAACTCTAAGTTTTAGTTAAAACTAAATTTGTCCAACTTACATTGAAAATTCAACATTCAAACAAAATATAATATATTTTTTTATTAAAATAATATTTCTTTTACCTTCCATACCATGTTATTTATAAGATAGAATAAGACTAGTATAAACAAGTTTAAGTAATGTTTAAATATTTTTTTAAAATAATATTTATTTAACATTTCATATCATTTTAAATATATTAATTTTCTTAAACCAGGAAAATTCAATTGTAGATCTCAAGTATTACAGCATGAAATTTAAGTGAAACATAATTTTTATAACTATATTTTATTTCCATTTTTAAAATTTTCAAATTATATAGGATCAACGTTGACATAAAATATATTAATATCACAAATCTATTTTTATAATTCGATTCTTAATTTCAGTTTTGCGGTTGGGTACGGTACGTGACGGTTCGATTTGGTTCGCGGTACGGATATTTGTGAATTCTCTAGAACCGTACCAATTATTTTTTGGGTTCAGTTCGGTCCAAAGAAAGCCAAACGGTCAACGGTTATTCTTCGTTTCGGAGTGATTTCGGTTCGATTTTCAAAACAGTTCGGAATTCACCGAGTCTCATACTCAGCCCTACTAAAATATATCTTTTCATAGTGGGCCTACGACTATGAAGGATGTATAACTTCTATTTTTCAAATAGAATTGAGAAATATAATTAGTTGTGAGAAAAAAAAAAAAAATGAGAAATATCTGCAAAACTTTGTTGTTTTTTTCTTTTTTATTATGCTTTCTCACTACCTTTTCCTTAATTTCTTGGATTCTTTGTTTGTTTCTTTTCTTGTTTGGAAAAAATTCCCGTGGGGAAAAATTGTTTGGTTGTACATTGTGTTATAAATTTTGATTTGCTTTTTATTAATGTGTTTAAAGGACAAAAGTCTTGTGATCTCTTTTAGTAAGAGAAACGCTATCCTAGTCAAAATTTCATGCTATTTTTTTCATGTCGTTTGTGGATGACAACAATGTGGAAAATGCAAGTATAGTAATGAAGTGATGGTGGTACGAATGAATTAGCTATTAATGTTTGACTTGTAAGTTTACCTTAGTGTAATTTACATCCATTGATAGTACCGTCTGATTTCTTTCATTCTAATTTTATTTCCCCCTGTTTCTCTTTGTTCCTCAAAGCCCTAGAAATAAATTCCCATCTAAGTCTAGGAAAATGCTACGGTCCCGTCTGGTGTTTTAACCGTTGGATCCACGTATAGTTAGATAAAGAAAGATGATCCAACGGTTAAAACACCCGACGAGATGGTACCGTACGTAACAGGACCGTAGCATTTTTCTCTAAGTCTATACCTTTGTTTATTAACTTTTACTAGTGTTATGATAACATCTTCTTTTAACAGTTGAATAGAACATGCCACATATTAATAACATATGTATTTAGAAAAATAGTACCTTCTTGTTGTTGATAATTTTCTTAGCATAATCGATTTGAGAACCTTTACGAAACAAAAATATTCAACATAATCGATTTATCTTTAAAAAAACTCATGTCGATTTACCCAAAATCTGTCGATCTAGTATGAATGTTGTAAGAAAAATTAGTTTTTTACCGATTTATAGTTTCATTTTTTGTAAGTGGAAGACTTAGAAAATTCTCTAAATCATTTTAAAGTGAATGAGAAATTAATTCTAAGTTGTATATGTGAGAAATGTAAAGTTGAAATAATGAGTTTAAGTAACTCAAATTATTCATAAAACACTATATTTTGATAAATGTTTGGACAAACTAAACGAGCCATAATTATGCATTATGTATGCTAGAATTGTAGAAGGGCTCGTTGACAATAAGTAGAAAAAAAAAATGGAACTCGATTCTGATTCCGTATGAGCTCGTACGAGCCCGCGGCGCACGAGTGCGCAACTAGCTGCGGAAATTAACAGGTCGCAACCTTTAGTGATAATAAGGTATCATTTGGCCACTAGATGTATCTGTTCTCGTTCGGGCACGTCCCAAAATGTGTCGTTTGACACTTAAACCTCTTGGAGTTGTTTCCCTACATCTATAAATATCCACAAACATGAAATCATTTAAAACATGAAAACATGAAAATTAGAGAGCTCTTGCATTTTTTTTCAAAGATCATATAGCATATTGTGGTCTATGATTTTTTCATTGAGTCTTGAGAGTTCTAAACAATAGCAGTGTACACATAAGGCTTGTATATTTGAAATACCGCTATATACAAGTCGAAAGTCATTGTATCTTGGAGGCGTTTGCCGTTAACCGTGGGTATTATATGAGGCAATTTCGTCTTAAGGAAAATGTAATTATTACGTGCCTCGACTTTGATTTTTGTTTCGTTTTCTTCATTCTCCTTGAGCCTTCTTTTTTATATTCACAAACCGCACAAGCTACAATCTTAAGACGAAATTTTTGTGAGTTCATAAGATGGCAACCGAATGAAACCAAACGGCTTCTTCAAGTGCTCAATCGACCGTTACACCGACTACTAATCTATTAAGGATAATCGCTCCAGTACAAGGCGAGAGACCGCCGAAGTTCAATTGCTCTGTTTTCAAGAGGTGACAACAAAAGATGTGTTACTAACTCACAACTCTCCCTCTCTCTAGTTTACTTTCGCAGGACTCTCTTTGATTGTCCCCGAAAGTGAGACTAACGTAAAAAATAATAATAATAATAATAATAATAATAATAAAAAAAACGTCCTGGATGCTTGGCATTATAGTGATTTCTTGTGTAGAAATCTAATGCTTAATGGATTAGACGACACACTATATAATGTATGTAGTCCAATTAAGACATGCAAGGAGTTATGGAATTCCTTAGAGGTGAAGTACAAACCGGAAGATGCCGGGATTAAAGAAATTTCTCGTTGGTATATTTCTAAAGTACTTGATGGTTGACACCAAGTCAGCGGTTATCCAAGTACAAGAGATTCAGATTATCCTTTAGGATATGTTCGCCTAGGAATTTATTGTAACCGAAGCCTTTTTAGTTGTGGCTATTGTTAAAAAGTTGTCTCCTTTGTGGAACGACTTCAAGAGTTATCTCTTGCATAAATGCAAAGATATGAAACTCGATCATTTGATAGTTTATCTTGATAGAAAAAGATAACTAAAAATCCGAAGTATTGTCCAAATGGAGCGAGCTAGAGGCTAATGCAAACTTGGTCGACCTAAGCTCGTGTAAGAAGCGTAAAAACGCTTTTCATGACAAACCACGATGGAGAGCCAAGAAATCCAAGGGATGTTGTTACGTTGGTGATAAACCCGGATACCTTGCCGCAGTTTACTAACTTCTAAAGAGGGGTAAAGGATAGTGCAAAATATTGAGGACAAGATAATACTTGTCAAAGCTCGATCTTTCCATCGTGGTTCGAGTACATACTTGACTAAAATTCCACGTTTATAGCGGATAAGGAAAAGAGCCACTTGATCCATTAGCGCTTATAAATGTTGTCCTACAACCCTAACTACAGAAAAAAGTATTAATGTAATTTCTTGACTTTAAGTGTTGAAGGAACTGACAAGGTAGTATGCTAAGAATG